ATAATTTGGATATATCAACAAAGTTGAAATGGTAAATTGGCCACCGTAATGATTACAAAAGCTGACGTTTCGAGCGTTAGCCCTTCGTCGCCCTTCGAGCGTTAGCCCTTCGCTCCGACGAAGGGCTAACGCTCGAAACGTCAGCTTTTGTAATCATTACGGTGGCCAATTTACCATTTCAACTTTGTTGATATATCCAAATTATATCTATACAGGATAGCCCCTTCAGCGTAGTAAACACTGGTATCAAAGGGGGTTCTGTTACCCTCCCATCCCGCTAGGGGAGGACATCCATCACACAGTAATCTCGTGCGTGGGAAGTTAACGTCTCCTACCCCTAACCCTGTAGGATACGGGACTTCCATTTGTTCGTCCCTATCCGAGAAGACTAGAATATCTAACCATTTCTTGATGTTATAGAAAGGTACCATATTCTTCTCAATTATTTTAAGACTTGAGTGTTGGTCCAGCCGGGGCTCGAACCCTCGACCTCCCGCACAACAGTCCAGCGCTCTATCCATTGAGCTAACCGGGAGGCGGTTAGCTCTTATACACTCGTCAGACATGCATATGTTGGACAGCCACATTCAGTCTTGTAATCTCGGTTACGTATTAATTTTTTCCCTTTCGACTTTTTGCTCCAATGCTTCGCGCCTGGGCCACGCATTAGTAAAAAAAAAAAACTCGATCTGTAACTTAAAGTACAAACTTCCTTCTGTTCAATAAACGAGAGGTAGTTATTCAGTAATTGCATGTGATATAGTGCAATAGCTGCAGAGAATAAAATAATGACATTGGTGACTGTAAGTGTATCGCTCGCGTTCCTACTTTGCGTTTTCCAAGTAATAAAGTCACCTTCCTAGTGAAAGAGAAATATAAAAGAAGAAAGTTGCAATCCTAATTTCGCCTTTAGATGGCCACAAACGAACTGTGCTTGAACTGTTTTTTGTTCTTTCTCTCTCTCTTTCTTTCTTTTCAGAAGCGCATGCAAGCTATGAAATATTCCGTTGCAAGGTATCTGAAAAAGAACTTCTTACTGAGGACTGTGTTGCTAGGACAAGCCGGCCCGTGAAGAGGTCAATGGATTCCCAAGCAAATAACAAAATGACATTCCACACAAGTGTATAGCAATCAAAATGATTTTTTAACTAAGGTTTCTGATATTATAATATTAATTTAGCAAGACTTTGCCGTGTAGGTCATTCTCACATATCGGTTTAGATTCAACATTTTTATTCTCCTTCTCATTGAAATTAGAAGGCCTTTTAAGTTATCCATTGTCCAATTCTGCTGACAAAAGCGGCATGGAAACGAAGTTTGACCAAAATGACAAACAGTTTAGTCTGACCGCCTTAAAAGTTGTCGAAGGAATCTTTGTTAGGTATATGTTCCTCGCTTTCCCAGTTACGTCTTGTATTTACATTCGATATAAGGTTTTTATCTCCATGAAAGTTGCCTACTCGAACGTAGCGTCTGAAATCAACACCAATGCAGTAGACCAGGAAACACTCTTTATGTTAATATTTTTACCAGGAGCGAAGATAACACGGTGGGAAATAATAAGTTTAATTAGGAATATAAATCTGCTTTAAATGGAAAAGTGGAAGGTTAACTGAAACAGGCCGAGAGGATTAACGCTAACCGAGCAACAGCCTTGTGGAAGTTTACCACAAACGCTCACATTCTTAAGACCACGTGGCTAATAAAGGGACTTTAGTATTGTTTACAAGTGCCGCTTTAGTTATTCGTCAGACTGAGACAATTTTGACTTTTGTTAATGCTTAAACAACTTCCGGTTTAGGCAAATATTAGCATAACATAGAGTCAATTCGTAACACCAAGAGAATGTATAATCATTTGTTAACACGCGATGTAAAAAGAAAATAGAAACAATTCGTTTTCTAGTAATAAAGCGACACTTTATACCCAAGCTTTCTAAAATGTCAGGAGTTTGATACTTAATTTAACTATGTACGAATGATTCATAAGTCTTGTTCTGTAGAGAGATTCTTCTTCAATTCAGGTTAAGGTGGCTGATCACAGTTTTCGGGCGTGCTTTTGCTGATGCATTTCAGNCTTCGCATTTACACATGATTTGTGATTCGCGTTCACAAAACAGCAATTACAAAATGAAGTTAATAACTGTCCACGGCTTTTATCTGAACTTCCAACAGTTTTCATCTGAGAAATTTCCAGTCCGCGCTTTTTTTATATCATTTTAGATAAAAACTGTTTAATACATTTCTTGAATAAGCTTTAATATAAAAGTGCATCCCTTTAGCATCTTGCTTTGGTGTGTAGACGCAATTCACGATCAAATTTTAATATCTTGTTCTAATCTCTGAGCAGTACATATGAAATACCAGTAAACAAATTACTTCATGGTTAGTTCGCTCGTATTGTATTTACTCTTTGTAAACAAGGGAACTCGCACGTTAGTTTTATTCTTCACAACTCGTGATCGCACGCTCTTACTTACCATAAAGTTATCTACATGCCGGTATGCACTTTTGCCAGTGGTAAAATTGATGAACCTTGTACAAACAATTACTTTGTTAAAAAAATTGCATGTTCAGGGCCCAATACGTAAATAATTTTGCAATGAAGGTTTATTATGAAACTTTGTATTCCTCCATTTATCTACATATTCATTGAGGTTCATTCGTTAAAGAAAGAAATATGCCTTAGATTGTTACTATTTAACAACTATTGCCTCAAGCGCAGTCAATGTATAGATGCTATAAAGAAAGAAATATGCCTTAGATTGTTACGATTTAACAACTATTGCCTCAAGCGCAGTCAATGTATATATGTTATCCACCAGCCGAGAGGTCCGTATCGGGAAAAACTGTGCTGAAGTCTTGAGTCTCTGAACTATTCTTAATGGCTCTAAAAATTCTTGAAGTTATTTTATATTTTTGGTGATGCTATGTGTTCGTTTATGTATAGCGTTTCCATCTCGCACGGAATGCCAAGCTTCAAGAATTAGCTATTCTACGTTGCCGCGCCAATGATCTGTCAACGATTTAAACACTAAAGACAATTGTTACACTTAAAAAATTCCTTCGAGATTTAGTTTTGTCACACATCATGTACATATACGGAACCGGACGCCGTTAGATACGTGCATTTTTCATCTTGTTGAAGAAGGCAACAGTAGTAACTGAAACATCCTGAACCATATAGTTTTAGCCAGTGCCAACTTTTCAATTCTTTTTACCCAAAAAAATTTAACATGTCTGGCTACAAACCTAATATTTTTATTTGAAGACCGGTCTCATTAATCTCAGTAAATCGTTATGTTGAAAGAATACTTTTCCTAGTATTTCTACCTTCTAATTTTGCCGCTCATCATACACATGTAGTTAATGAAGTCTGTGTTTTGTTTTGTTTTGTTTTTTTTGTACTCTACCTTCATTTATGTCTTGTTCCCTTCACTGTAACCGTGAATTAAATGGAGGTAAGGCCTCTAATCTTTGTTCCATGGATTCTGGTTAACATTGCATGACTCTTTGTTTATCTTAATTTTTTATCATTTTGTTTTTGTGGAGGGACTGGCATGAGATTGGTTCAAAGTGCCCTTAGTCTCATTTTCTGAGACGACGCACTTTGAAAAGTAGTGACGAAATGTTCAGAAGGGCAACAGTTAGCGCCATTATCACTTCACTAATGTGTCCATCATCTTATTAAGTTTGGCAAGCTCCTTTGTCTGACGATCAACTAATCGTTTAAGTAACTTGATGTTATCTTCAGTGGACTGGGAGCACTCTCCTTCTCTTTCAGTCCTTCTCTCCTCATCCGCTGTGTGGTCTCTAACTGAGTTGTCTTCCTCGCATCTTTCAATGTAGGGATCCCTTAAATATTTCACCACCAGTTTCTTAATCGTTTCTTTTCGTCTCTATGGTGAAATAATAAATTGGAAAACATTCTTTATCGTGATACTCTATCGATTGAATTTGAGAGAATTTGTTGTTTTCGTATGCTACAAGCTCGCTGGATCAATTCCCTTGTTGTAACATGAAAAAGATGTCAAAGTTTTACTTCCTCAAGGTTACATGTACCTCTTTCCTGACCGTAATCTCGTCTCTTTGAAAAAAAAAAAAAATTAAGATTCAAATCTTATTACCTGAAATGATATTTCCATTGATACAAATGATATTGCATATCAATGAAGTTAGGCATTGGTTTTTTCATGTTTTAACACATATTTTTACTTATATTTCCTGCTTACCTCTCTTTGCGCCTGTTCTTCGTCTGGTTCCTTTTACATAAAGATAAAATGTAAGAAATGAGAATAAATTAAGGCCTCATTTCGACAATTTATTGGAAAAGGACCGGATTAAAAATTAATACTTTACTTCATTAATCTAACCTCTTATCTAAAATGAAAATTACAGTATTGTTTATGTTTTAACACATATTATTTTTGATCAAAAATAAGACACAAACAGCAGTGATAAACATATTGAACTTGCACATTTTGAGTATGACTTGACGTTTCGTATGTACTCAACATACATTTTCAAAAGTAACCGTTGAAATTTAAAACAGCTATGTATATATATAACTAAGGTGAGGAGACTGGAACCAAGATTAAGCAAAGAACTTAACACTAAACAATAACACTATAGCAGATTAATAAAGCAACAGCGTTTCACTTCCGACGTTCACCTTGGAAGCTGGCTCAACTTTTTGAATAAGTAAGGACTCTTCGATTTTACAATAGTAGTCTGTTTTGCCCTTCGCCAAAATATCAAAATGATCCCGCTTGATAATATGTCCAGTGCCCTTGACGTGGTCGTCGGCAATGGCTGAAGTATTGTGATTTTTAGCGAGGGCCTTAAAATGTTCGGTTTTTCTAACGTGAAGCCGTCGTTTAGTTTTACCAATGTAACAAACATTACAATCCCAGCAATTTGCTTTGACGGCTTCGTGATAGAAAAACCGAACATTTTAAGGCCCTCGTTAAAAATGACAATACTTCAGCCATTGCTGACCACGTCAAGGCCACTAGACATAATATCAAGTGGGATCATTTTGATATTTTGGCGAACGCAAAACAGACTACCATTGTAAAATCAAAGAGTCCTTACTTATTCAAGAACTTGAGCCAGCTTTCAAAGTGAACGTCGGAAGTGAAAAGCTGTTGCTTTATTAATCTGCTCTAGTGTTATTGTTTACTGTTAAGTTTTTTGCTTAATCTTGGTTCCAGTCCCCTCACCTTATATATATATATATATATATACATAGCTGTTTAAATTTGAACGGTTACTTTTGAAAATGTATGTATACGAAACGTGAAACGTCAAGTAATAAAATGTGCAAGTTCAATATGTTTATCACTGCTGTTTGTGTCTTATTTTTGATCAAATTATGATGGCCCAAGAAGAAACATATTATTTTTACTTATTTGCCCCGCTTACCTCTCTTTGCGCCTGTTCTTCGTCTGGTTCCTTTTACATAAAGATGAAATGTAGGAAATGAGGATAAATTAACGCCCCATTTTGACAGTTTATTTGAAAAAGACGGGATTAAAAATTAATGCTTTACTTTATCAATATATACATACAAATATCTAACCTCATCTGAAATGAAATTACGGTATGGTGGAGTTTGAGAGGTGAACTTTTTCCGGTCATTATTGGACAACTTAAAAACAATAAATGATCACAAGAGTTTACTGATAAGCTCTTGATGTTATTTTCCTTACTCCATTACCATGACAGCAACGGCATTTTTCTTTGAATTTCCCAACCACTTTGTCAATTGATAGAGCAATCAAATAAAAAGTGTAATAGACTATGTTTATGGGTGCCGGCATCGTGTTGCCTTTGTCAATCCATTCCAGCCACATGCGGGATCTCGAGTATTTCCACTCAATATCTGAGTTTTTCTGAAATTGAGATGTAAACAAGGTTACAAGAGGTTGAAAAGGTTCTTAAGTAGCGGCGGTGGTTTGTTTCAAGAACAACGCTGTGAGGAGTTTACTTTAATAGACTGGTTCCTCATGTCGCTCTTCCTCAGTGAGTAAACCTTCCTGCATATGGGTCAAATCTGATAGACCTGCAACAATATTAATGGTGCTTACTTTGAGTGTGTACTCACCATGATCCTCTCAAAAGAATTGTTCATCATGGCAATCAGCATGTTCAAAGCTACTATTACAGTGCAAACCACGTAAGCCATCAGGAAAAGACGACCAAATGTGGCGGTGAGAGTAAAGGCAGGGTCTTTTACATCGATTTTGTCTTCCTCTACGAGGCCAAGCAGCAACCAGAATAACGCTATAAACGCCGTTTTGTGACTGAAAAGCAAAGATGTCGATATCGATATCAACGTATTATAAATGGTTAGAAACTAAAATAAAATATTCGCTTCTTACCAAGTTAATTCTCACTTTTTTTCTCGTTTCCAAACGAAAACGTCCGAGTTTTAGTACTCTCCTTCGATGCCAATGTCCATGTTTCATAAATCTGAATTCAGATGAAAGCTTTGATTTCAAGGTGGCCTATATCTGTGTTTTGCTCCGGTTTAATCACGCACATGTATAAAAAACAACCTCAACGAGGAAATGTGACATGAAGTAACTCTAAGTTGGCACACATGCACAATGCAAACCGGTGAAATGGGTAACATTCTACGTGTGATTGGCTTTGCGATGTCAAATCACTCCACTGTTTCTCGAGCCTCTGCATTATCGGCTTAAAAGCTACTTAATGAATTTATCTCTCAGTAGTCGAGAAATTCAAGATGAATCTACCACCACTGACTCACCTCTCAGTTACTTTCGGGAAAATGCTGAAGGCATCAGTGTTATTAAGAGCCACTGACCATAAATATCGAGAATCTGCAGAAAGTTGCTAAATTTTGTAATTCGTTTTATTTTTCCTAAAGGACACATTTGATGAACCTTTTTCAAAAACAATATAAAAAAAATCAAAAAGTTCAAAATACGCCTAGATGGCTGTTGTCCCCACCTCATAAAGCTATGAAAAATTATGCAACTTCGGCAACTTCGTACGCCACAATGCGATGTAGTACCGCTTTTAAATTTTTGTGTGCTAGTAGATGTTCTTTAATCTCTTTAAAAAATATAAAGTTATTTTTCTTTTGTTACGTTTAAGTCTGAATAGTGACCCGTTGAAATAAAGTACTTCGCGTCTTTTTCGCAGAGGTAAAATAGAAGTCAACTTTAGTGGCCTGTGATAAGGTCTGCCATATATATTTACAAATCATTATATACACCACCTTGACGCTTCATCCTTGTATTTTAATTCCTCTAATTCTTTTTTATATAATTTTTAAAAAAGGTTCATCAAAAGGGTCCTCTAGGAAAAATAAAATGAATTACGAAATTTTGCAACTGTCGGCGGATCACGAACTCTCGATATTTATGGTTAGGGGCTCTTAAATATAACTCGGTTCCAGAAAAACCTTAGGGAATAACTTTCTTATCTCTTCTATGTGAAACTTAATGTTCCACGTTCTTAGTGATGTACAGCTATTTGTTTACTAAAACTCTCTTACTCTGCGTAGGAATGGGATTCCTCATACTCGGTGTGGTTCCAATTTTTCCTCAGTTCAAATTGAGAGATGACGTAGTAAGAGTAGACTTTTACAACGCCATTAGCAAACGAAAAATACAGCACAAGGAAGATAAAGAGGAATCTTTGCACATCCTTGAGCATTTTGTAAAGGGAAAGCTGTAGAGGGCCAAGTACTGAATCAACTTGAAATATATGCGTCAGGTGGAAATATGCCATTACGGAAGCGCTTGCGTACAACACATCAGCTAAAACAAATGCTTCTCTTGGTTTCCATTTTCCAAAGTACCAATAGGAGAGCAGCCACACAGTCGAGGACGCCAGAAAAGTGAAGATGATCAGCGTGTCTACGACATTCCACCACTTTGACATATAAATATAAATTCCTTGTCTCCAAGCTTCGCGACATTCCTGCAGAAGTAAGCCAAGTACAAACGAAAGCACCACGTAGTCTGTGAAAAAAAATGTACAGTTGTTTAAGCACAACAACTTTAAGATAAATTTGTATGTGTACTTCGCTCTAGTAAATTGATACTGGAACTATGTTTTGCTGGCTAACTATTAAAGTAATTTGTAAATGTACTTTACTCTTGCAAATTGAAAATGAAAACTATGTTTTGATGCTTAACAATAGAATGGAAAGAAAATATGATTTTGAAATATTCGGATGTAAAGAAGATAATATTCTTTACAAATAATCGGTATGTAATTATAACTTTGTTTTGGACGGTTTTTCTTTCTTTCTGTCCATCAGCTATTTAATCTTAACTTAAATCATAGGCTTAAAGTCTTAAAGGCCTTACAGCTGAGTCAATGCAAATGACAGATATCTTCAGGACAGTAGCACAGGAGACCTACCACACCATATCAGCCCAGTCACTGTGGTTCCAAACTTGCTATCGAAGGAGGTCAGGAATATCATCCAAAGAAACACCAGGTACCACATCGTGTGGTTGATGAACTTGGAATAGGGGTGTTCATAAAGCTCTCTGAATTCCCAAATCCCATCGTCTTGACAGCAACGATAAAATTTACGAACCAATCGTATCGGAATGTAAAAGACGCTAGATACTGCCACAAGCAGTAGTTGAAAGAAGAACCACACCACTTTGGTCCATCTGCTTTTATTCCGCCAGTCAGGCCATTTATAATATATAATCTCGTTAAGAACCCATTGGCATTTTGGGTTCGCCACAAACTGCGGATTGATTAGGGAAAAGAATAGAGACTTTAGGAAAAATTGTGACCCATTGATGTGGCAATCGCCAGCTCATTCTAAGTTAGCCCGTTGGCAAAGCCTTTCATTATAACATGCTTCGATTTAATTCAGCAGCTTAACCTTGGTTTAAAACCCGGTTAACATGCATTTCAGTACAGCCCAGATTTCTTGAAGAAAAAGACGGGCATATCGCCGAGATGCTAATTATAAGTTAGCAACAATAGTGTCGAGATGTCAATGTGATTTTATATCCCTAACCAGCAAAATTTCACTTTCATACTGCTTTATATTTGCATCAGGTCCTCATAACTCCATTAATCAATTAAGCTATAATCTAACCTCAAATGGAATATCAATTGACCTTACCGCCTAGATCTTGTTTCCCCCATGATGATTTTCATGAGCAGACAAATTAAATTATATGAAATTAATCAATTACAACATAATGCAAAAGTCGCCATGTATAAGGGAGTAAACCTCTGAGATAGACATTACACTTTGAGTGTACGTTTACCTTTCAGTATCCCCCGCTTCATTTTGACGTGTCTTAGATCAGCGAATTTGTGATCACTAAATACATGCTCTGCAGAATATTTATTCAAATGACTGTTTGTTTTACCCGAAAGAAAATTGAAATGTTTGCCACAGGCTTTCCGACAAAAATGAAAGAGTCTAGTTCATTTAATAGTGATATATGGTCTCAAAAGCCGAAATCACGGAACATTTTTAATGCCTCATTACTGTATTATTCATGGCAATTTCATTTAGAATTGAAAACTCGATGCTGTTGCTCGATGCATAAGTTATTTCCACGGCGAATCTGTGTATGTGATATGTTTTTTTATGCTCTCAAACGTTGTGAGCTAGCGAGTAAGTTATAGCCACCCAACCTAATACGTGTAACATGTAAAAGAAATTAATGAAATGCAAGGTTACAAACCATCTTTCTGTTTTTGTCGGCAGCAAACTTGAGAAGACTCAGGCTCTGATTAAAGTTCTTAGGTTTCTTCTCCATCAAACAGCCGTTTCCGTCGATATCCATTACCTCCCGAAGTTGCCGGAAGTTACTTCCTTCAACAACGTCAGCCGCAAATTTCTCACACTCCAATGCCCGCTTATAGTACTCGTCTCGACTGTAATGATGCTCGTACCGAGCAATTTTTTCCAGCAGGTAGGCATCATCTAAAGCAGCTTGAACGATGTCTCCAAGTTTACTTTCTCTCCTCTCCGGTTGTTGGATAGCGGTGCCCGTCAGCTGTAAATTATTTCTCCATAGCCATTCTAGGCCAATGTAGAGTGGATCAGAAAGTATCCTTATCCACTCCTGTTCTTCTTCGTGTTGAAGTTCAGTTTGCGCCGGCCTGCTTTCACGAAAAATACAAGCGTGAGTATCGCGTTCGCTTGCAGATCGGATTTGGCCGCGTAACTTCTCCCAAAAGTATTTGATCAGTCCTTTCTCTTTCAGCCTTTCGTGTTCTGCGACAGTTTCACAAGTTTTGTTTAACTTTTCTAGCGTTTTGAGATCCGACTCTTTGGCCCTTGCTATTAGTTTCCAAACTGTGACGGCATCCTCGTTTTCAAGGGCTTTCATAAGTTGTTGCTTGTAAGACACACGTGTTGGATCTTCATCTCGACTATCCCTTCGCTCGTCTGAACTCGCTGGCTGTATAAATTGCTCCACGTCTTCCTTTGTGCCCCTCGAAACTGCATCAAGAAAATCTGTGCAAACATTTGAGCCGCTTTCTGTTTGGTGTTGTCCGTTTCTTTCGTTACCTTGCTCAGCCATCTCGTATGTTGTCGCATTCAGAGTTTAAAAAAATAGTGGCGAGAGGAGCGTCCTAATTGAACACAATAAGTAAAAAGCTGTTGAAAGCAAAATACCAGTGCGGTCCAAGGTCCAAAATAAAGAAAATTGGCAGTGTCAGTGATTTTCCTATAAAGGACTTGACACCGGTGAGTGGACAGAAACGGATCATTTCTCTTGATTGGTGGAAATTGTAGCTGTCGATCAAACTTGTATTTAAGAGACGAGCAGACGTTACCGGAGGGTCTCAATGGGGCGAGGGGATCACGTTGACGTCAGGTTGACGTTAAAACTTAGTTCATTTGACGATTGACGGTTAATTTTTTGGAATGTCGTTTATAAAGCGAACCAAACGCGAGAATTTGGCTGTAATTAATTTTTCATACTGACTCGTTTCTTAAGAACTGTTAATTAATAACACCATTTATTAATAAAGGATGGACGTTTTACGACACGGAAGTGTTTCCACACCGGAAGTCAGTTCTGTCGCTAACCAGTTTTACTCGCGACAAGATGTTAAAGGACATAAATTTATTTTTGTGATGTATCAAAACGGTTCCAGTATTTTGGTCATTTGATGGTTGACAGTTAACCCCATCATGAGACCCTCTTCACGGAACGTAAAAGAAAACTTCAATTCGCTTTGAACGACAATGAATGACTAATATCCAGAGATAGGAAAGTGAAGAATTTTGAAAGATATGAAGAAACTGAAAAAAGTGACGTCAGATAAAATATCACAGCACACCATGAGTAATTTCAATGCCTGCCACGAGTCGAGTATAGCTGGGTGGTTGAAAACATTTAGTCATTGTTGATGCAGATGATGATCTTGATGATTCCACTTTTAAGGAGCGGCTTAATATGAAAATGTTCAACTTCGAAATTAATAAGTTTCAAAGGAAGACATTAGGGAACTTAAGCAAACCACCTCAGCGACGGCAACGAGAACGTGGAAAAAAAAAAAAAAGATCTAATCAGCAGAGCAGTAGCTAAGCACGTGCATTTTAAAACTTAGTGCATCTTTTAGCCGTCCTTTGCAAAACAACAACGTGAAATCACCAAAATTTGCGTCGTCTTCGAACCAAATCCGCGACGGCAAAATATTTTAATTTCCATTGGGAACTCAACACCACTTTTATACGTCATGTTAAGGTTGAGTTGTGACGCCGTGCGAGATGGTGAACAGCCATTTTCGAAATTCTCATTAAAAATAGAAATTCATTTTTTGATGGACGTCTTCCTTAACACTGCCGTCCTGACCACTTAAGTAAGGTCCCTATTTAACCCCTGTTACTGATTATTGCATTGCACGAATGATTGGGGTCGGAACCTCTATTCCTTTTAAGTAAATATAGACAGCTTATTTAATCTCGTCACGAGAAACTCTCACACGGTCAAGAACACGGAACACTGATATTTCTAAAAGGGAAAATAAAGCGGCACTAGGACCTTTATCAGGACGAAATCTTTTGAAGGGACTCGTACATGGTAATTAATTCAGCTCCCTTGATTTAGAAAGTAAAAAATATCAAGGAGTTAATTAGTAAACATCTTGTTGTTCTTAGAGAGTAATGTCCCACACGACCTTTGGTTCATCATGGAGTGCTGAGAAGAAGAACAGAAAAAAAAACAACAACAACAACAACAACAAAGAAAACAAAATAAAGAGTTAGGGGTTTTGGGAGTAAGAAGAGTAAGAACTCACAGGCTCACCGTTCTGGACGGAATATATTTAACAAATGGTAAACATCACAGCGTACACTATTGAGTTATGGATGCACGCGGGAGGTTGCTAAGCACGAAAGAAGCGTAAGAGTCGCGTAAGAGAGAGAAGAGAGAAGCGTAAGAGAGCGACTCTAGCTTCTTGAGTACTTAGCAAACCTCTCAAGTGCATCCATAACTCAATAGTGTACGCTGTGGTGTTTACCATTTGTTTTATAACATAACATTGATACATTGTAGCTAAAGAGTTCCCTTTTATTTAACAATAAAGCGATACTTTATACCCAAGCTTTCTAAAATGTCAGGAGTTTGATACTTAATTTAACTATGTACGAATGATTCATAAGTCTTGTTCTGTAGAGAGATTCTTCTTCAATTCAGGTTAAGGTGGCTGAACAAAGTTTTCGCGCGCGCTTTTGCTGATGCATTTCAGCGCGCGCACAAGGATTCATAAAAACAAACATGCCATCAATATAGCGGTCATTTTATTTACTCAACACGTACCTGCACTATCTGTGTTATTTTTCTCTATAGTTGGCGCAGTGTATCGAGGGCTTTAATCTTTTATTACAAAGATATGTTAGAAAAGCTAACAGTGCAAAGAATCTAGGCTATCACCTCGCGCGACTCTTAAGCCCCATCTACACGAGCAATTTTCATATGGCAATTTTTATGTGGCAATTTTTATCTGCCCGTTTAGATGATGAAAAATGATCAATTTTTAGGTGACAACTGCATTTGCTGAAAAGCTGGCGTATTAGTTTTTATGTGGCAAATAAAAACTGCCACATAAAAAAATTGTCCGTGTAGATGAGACGCCACATAAAATGTGACAAACGCGCCTAAAGCTGCAACACTTCTGGCACGTCTTCTGGCTTTCGCCATCTTGCTTTTTTCCTTTCCATGAGCATCTCCGCTATGCAAAATTATTACTGACGCAAATTAACAACAAATATTTGTCGAGCCATCTACACGGGCAAATAAAAATTGCCATATACAGTTGCCACATAAAAAATTGCTCGTGTAGACGGGGCTTTACACTTCTTTCGTCCTTAGCAACCTCCCGCGTGCATCCATAGCTTAATAGTGTACGCTGTGGTGTTTACCATTTGTTAAATGGTGAGGAGTTTTTGGAGTACACTGAGAGGTAAACAAAGACTAGAACTGAAGAAAATCCCAGGGATATTTGGCAAGTAAAACCAAAATTTTATTTAGTCTCACAGTCTAATAGATATCTAGTAGCGATATATGAACTCTACGCCGAGAAACGGCCTTCATAACGATGCGCCATTCAGTATCGAACAGTAACAGCTGTGAAAAATCTTAGTTCAAGAAATCAGCCGTTAGTGTTAACAAGTCAGAATTTATTAATAAAGAAAATACTAGAAAGCTAGACTAGTTCCCAATGTAAAGAACCATAGCGGTAGTAAAGCGGCAACATCTCAGCGACGAATAATATTATTATTTAAATTTGTCACGCTATAAAAATGTTTCAAACAGACACAATTATTCCGTAGTATCTAAACAACAGAAGCTAAGAATGTCACGAAATTTAGTGGGCTGACAACAAGATGCCTACAGAAAACGAATTACACGAGAATCGTCGAATAATCAAACGCTGTCGCTGTCGCTCTCAAGGGCGCTGTAATTCATGGAGGGCACATTAGCATCGCCATTAACAGCTTGAATCAATCCCCGACATTGGCAATCCAGGAAACTATGGAGGAAGCTCCTCCAAACAGTACAAAAGATGACCTAAAGTTCAATTTTCTGACTCTGATTAGTAGGCATTTCGCTTCGCATTTACAATTTGTGATTCGCGTTCACAAAACAGCAATTACAAAATGAAGTTAATAACTGTCCACGGCTTTTATCTGAACTTCCAACAGTTTTCATCTGAGAAATTTCCAGTCCGCGCTTTTTTTATATCATTTTAGATAAAAACTGTTTAATACATTTCTTGAATAAGCTTTAATATAAAAGTGCATCCCTTTAGCATCTTGCTTTGGTGTGTAGACGCAATTCACGATCAAATTTTAATATCTTGTTCTAATCTCCGAGCAGTACATATGAAATACCAGTAAACAAATTACTTCATGGTTAGTTCGCTCGTATTGTATTTACTCTTTGTAAACAAGGGAACTCGCACGTTAGTTTTATTCTTCACAACTCGTGATCGCACGCTCTTACTTACCATAAAGTTATCTACATGCCGGTATGCACTTTTGCCAGTGGTAAAATTGATGAACCTTGTACAAACAATTACTTTGTTAAAAAAATTGCATGTTCAGGGCCCAATACGTAAATAATTTTGCAATGAAGGTTTATTATGAAACTTTGTATTCCTCCATTTATCTACATATTCATTGAGGTTCATTCGTTAAAGAAAGAAATATGCCTTAGATTGTTACTATTTAACAACTATTGCCTCAAGCGCAGTCAATGTATAGATGCTATAAAGAAAGAAATATGCCTTAGATTGTTACGATTTAACAACTATTGCCTCAAGCGCAGTCAATGTATATATGTTATCCACCAGCCGAGAGGTCCGTATCGGGAAAAACTGTGCTGAAGTCTTGAGTCTCTGAACTATTCTTAATGGCTCTAAAAATTCTTGAAGTTATTTTATATTTTTGGTGATGCTATGTGTTCGTTTATGTATAGCGTTTCCATCTCGCACGGAATGCCAAGCTTCAAGAATTAGCTATTCTACGTTGCCGCGCCAATGATCTGTCAACGATTTAAACACTAAAGACAATTGTTACACTTAAAAAATTCCTTCGAGATTTAGTTTTGTCACACATCATGTACATATACGGAACCGGACGCCGTTAGATACGTGCATTTTTCATCTTGTTGAAGAAGGCAACAGTAGTAACTGAAACATCCTGAACCATATAGTTTTAGCCAGTGCCAACTTTTCAATTCTTTTTACCCAAAAAAATTTAACATGTCTGGCTACAAACCTAATATTTTTATTTGAAGACCGGTCTCATTAATCTCAGTAAATCGTTATGTTGAAAGAATACTTTTCCTAGTATTTCTACCTTCTAATTTTGCCGCTCATCATACACATGTAGTTAATGAAGTCTGTGTTTTGTTTTGTTTTGTTTTTTTTGTACTCTACCTTCATTTATGTCTTGTTCCCTTCACTGTAACCGTCAATTAAATGGAGGTAAGGCCTCTAATCTTTGTTCCATGGATTCTGGTTAACATTGCATGACTCTTTGTTTATCTTAATTTTTTATCATTTTGTTTTTGTGGAGGGACTGGCATGAGATTGGTTCAAAGTGCCCTTAGTCTCATTTTCTGAGACGACGCACTTTGAAAAGTAGTGACGAAATGTTCAGAAGGGCAACAGTTAGCGCCATTATCACTTCACTAATGTGTCCATCATCTTATTAAGTTTGGCAAGCTCCTTTGTCTGACGATCAACTAATCGTTTAAGTAACTTGATGTTATCTTCAGTGGACTGGGAGCCCTCTCCTTCTCTTTCAGTCCTTCTCTCCTCATCCGCTGTGTGGTCTCTAACTGAGTTGTCTTCCTCGCATCTTTCAATGTAGCGATCCCTTAAATATTTCACCACCAGTTTCTTAATCGTTTCTTTTCGTCTCTATGGTGAAATAATAAATTGGAAAACATTCTTTNAGAGAGAGACAGAGACAGAGAGAGACAGAGAGAGACAGAGAGAGACAGAGAGAGACAGAGAGAGACAGAGAGAGACAGAGAGAGACAGAGAGAGAGAGAGAGAGAGAGAGAGAGAGAGAGACAGAGAGAGACAGAGAGAGACAGAGAGAGAGAGAGAGAGAGAGAGAGAGAGAGAGACAGAGAGAGACAGAGAGAGACAGAGAGAAAGAGAGAGAGAGAGAGAGAGAGTTAAAAAGAAATGCGAGGATGGACAACTTCTGGTGAAAAGTCGAGTGAAGAGATAAAAAATTAAATAACTCTTTAAGCGCTGTTACCTCATTGCGTTATAAATTCTTTTATGACTTGGGTCATCCCTGCCGGTTAGCTCTAAACAGCAACAGAAGGCTGAACCGGTGGCATTTAGTTTGATAGGAGACGGATGTGGCTCTTTGTTTTGTCCTTCGTAGGTGTTCTGGAGGCGCGTTCATCTAGCGAATAAATCTAACAAGAGTTGATTTGGTTTTACATTCGTTTGTAACGGGCGTTGAGATGAATTTGAGACCCTATAATAGCGAGCCGACTTAGCAGTCAAAAGGCTAACAGTTCGAGAGGTTTTTAGGAATTTCTTATTTGTCTCCCTTTCTTTCCCTTTACTTTTGGATAGCTCACTTCTCCTCGGTTGTTTCTCAGTTCAATCGGCCACCTCCGGATCCTTACTATCTGCTGTCTGCACGGGCCGCTTTTTTACTTCAGAAGAATTTGTCTCTGTTAGGGCTTGAATCGTTGGTACAGCACCAGGATCAGCAACTCTTTTAGGCCCATTTCCAACACGTAGCTTTTCTCAAAACAGTCGGGTGAAAAGTGACTGCTTCAAACCACAGAATGTTTGAACAGCTCGACGAAATTGGCTCTTTTCACTTGAACAAATTTAACCCTTTGTCGCTTTAAACATGGTTCTCTTGGAAATTTATGCGTTGTGTGCCCGGGTTTGTTTAAATTACTACAAAACTGGACGACACAACGCTTTACCATTTTGAAAAAATTGAATATATTCAACCAAATTTTAAGTACAAAAAACGTGACGAGACCAGCAAACAAGGGATGCGAAGGAGACTTAAAGGTATCTCATGCTCTTTTGACCTCCCACACCGGAAGGTTCCACCCATGACGTCACAGGAAAGATGCCGCAAGTCGAGATGGCGAATGTTTCGAATTTGGAAGGGCTTTTTCATGGTGAAAATTGACTTTTGAGAAAAAACGAATTGCACCTCATTAACTGTGGAAGCAAACAGAGACATAAGCTGGAAAATTTTCCCGCCTTTGGAAAAGTATGCAAAGCATGCAACAAACGAAGTCAGTCTGCAGACCAGTGTCACGCACATCGCAAGTTAAACAGATGGCATCGATTTCTGACTCGACGGAAGCAGAAACGTCGGTTACAGAGTCAGACGAATTTTTTTTTTTTTTTTTTAAAAAAAAGAAAAACAAAAACAACGATATGTGGTGCGTTTTGGTGTAGTGTAATCTGATCAGCGCAATTTGGTGTATCTCTAAGCAATCTGACTGGCTCGTCTTTTTGGTGTACCACAAACCAATCAGATTGTTGTATTTTTCGATGTCGCACCAATAAGTGAGTACTTGCTAATTTGTGGTTTGACAGGTCTTCAAATTTTAGCGAATCAACGCGTGACTCGGGGAGAGCGGATCGCGAATTAAGGAAACGTATTAGTTGTGTTGGGAAAGCGGTGGAGTTGTGATCGTTGTACGACTATTGTTATTCTTCGTCCTAAAGGAGACCGATTGGAACATGAGAAAATTTTTGAATCAATATTGCTTGAGATGTTGATGGGAGCAACTTCAGGATATTTCATTACTATCTATGAGTTTAATCAGCGATTCCATTTTGAATTTCGCTTAAAGAACGAGTTAAGAATGACATCTACAACAGCTGTGAGTTCATCTATTCAGCGTAATGGTTCGTATCCTTTGTGAGGACTTTATCGCTCTGATCTATCGGGATTAGAAAGGTCGTCAGGGTACTTTTTGCACCATTAGCAAGTTAAAAAGTGCATGTTTTGTGTACCGCTTCTTCACTTACGACGCACACACCATCAGGCCTAACACGAAATTAGCACCAGAGCGTGTTGTTTTGGAAGGGCTAGTTTTGCTGACTCAGGAAAACCTGCGCAAATATTTGCGTAAATCGTATTTGATTGATAATCTTTTTTTTTTTTCTCGCCTTGTGTTTGCTCTTTTTGCAAAGGTTGAAAAAAGACAACCAAGTTACAGCTATTTTCTGCGTCGACTGCCCGGTGAAATATCCGTTTCTTTACTTCTAAAAGTTCTCCATGAATTAAATATTTTTTAAACGGTACTTTCCCGCTACATTCGGGTGTTTACTTTTTACTCGCCAGTGTAGAGTAGACTTTCCCCGATGAAATACCATTTTGCAGTAAAGAGCGTTTATGAGATAATTCTACCTCACTGAAAAATATTTCACAAGGAACATAATCGTACAGTCAGTCAATTTACCACGCAACTCTCACATGCTTGGACGTTTTCTACCAATAAAACTTGCTATTTACTTCCTTGAACTTTACCCCATTGCGTGTCAATTCCATGTAAGGAATCTGCATTTTATCACGTATTTCGCACGTACAGGGCAAAGTCCAAATGGCCAACAACCAATTAAGGAGCCCATGAACTCCAGAACTCCAGAACTCCAGAACTCCAGAACTCCAGAACTCCAGAACTCCAGAACTCCAGAACTCCAGAACTCCAGAACTCCAGAACTCCAGAACTCCAGAACTCCAGAACTCCAGAACTCCAGAACTCCAGAACTCCAGAACTCCAGAAATGGCATTTAAGTATTTTCCAGATGTCAAAACTTTTTGGGGAGGGCATGCCCCCAGACCCCACAAGATTAAGGGACCTGACGGCCCCTTGTTGGTACGGTCGGTTACTCTCACTAACCAGCTGCCTACTTGAAATTATATTGAAACCCCTGGGCACCACCCCAGCTTATAATGCCATAAGTTAGATATATATGGATAAATGAAGGAACAATACATCTGTTTTATAGTGTGAACATCTACATAAAATCGTAATTTTTTAATAATTCCTACATTTTTTCTTTAATTTATTGTTCATATGCTGGATTTGGGGTCCTCAATGTAAATTTTGATCAATAAATACACCTAAATACTTTGACATTTTCGCTCAATTTTATGCATATGTATATGTCCACCTATTCTTGAGGATGAGATTACCATATAGTTAGTCTTAGTTGGGTTAATGGATAGTTTGTTGGCGTCACAATACTTAAAAACTAATTTCAATTCCTCATTCATAACAGACTCGAGGTGTTTTAAGTTAGCACTTGTCTCAAACATATTTGTATCATCAGCAAAGATTCTGAAGGAAAGCTTATTAGAGCAGTTAGGCAAGTCATTAATATAGAACAGGAATAATAGTGGATCCAAGGTTGCTCCTTGTGGTATTTCACGAGTAATAGTTTCACAGCTGGATCGGTATTGCCAATCTTGACAAATTGAGACTGATTGTTTAGATAGTGTTACTGTTACACGACATACCATTTGAGACGCAAATAAGAACCACTGAGCAACTCGTTTTCTTTGTTATGCCGTGAGTAAATTTTATTTACCCGTGAGTTAATTTTGTTTTGCCGTGAATTGGTGGTGTTTTGCCGTGCCGTGAATTAGTAGTGTTTTGCCGTGAGTTAATTTTGTTTTGCCGTGAGTAAAGTTTGTAGTGCCGTGACTTTTTGTTTGCTGTGACAGTTGAGGGCCACCGTAGGGACAAGTCTAAAACAAAC